ATGTGTTACGCATGCCACCAGATAGGTTACCACGGCGAGCGATGTTCGCCGAAGCAGATACAGAGTGGAAAAAGCCAATGGTGGTCAAGCCAAGACCTGGCATGAAGGTATAAAAACCCTGACCAGCAGACTGGGTCACATAGGTCTTGCTAGGGTCCCTGCCTGGGTGAGTGATATGGTTGGGTGTCGCAAACAGTGGCGTTCCTGCATGTTCTCAATTTCTTTGCAAACTTAGACCACTGAACTTTTCCATTTTCTGTTCGATTCTACTTTCAACTTCCCTTTCTTCTCCTATTCTTCATCCAAATGGGCAGCCAAAAGACAGTAACCAAAACTGGCGCACGAATATGCGTGGTTATTGAAAAACTGAAAACTGTAGTTGATGGCACATATGCAATGGCGATAAACGAACAGCCTTTGATGTTAATTTCCATCGCAACACCAAGCCCTGAAGCAGTATTGCGCTTTTATTACAACTAACAACGGGTGTGTAACCTATTAGTTACTTCTCGGCTTCTTCAGTTGGTAGGACTCCAACTCCACGCTGAGCGGGCTTTATCGTCATCTGATATGTCGGGGGGAATACCTCGAGAACAAATGTGGCGCACTCAAGTGGTTTATACAACTTGGATCATGAGTTTTCATCTCCGACATGCAGTAGATATCAATTTCCAAAGACTTCATTATGTTGAAAATACGCTTGTATGCGAGTCCTCATGTTGAAGCCCCTTAGATTCAGAGGGTGAGAAGACTACTTGTTCGTAGGCAAACTACTTACAATATATCGCATCAAGAATTGGCGAATGACAAAGGAGTAGTGGAATGAAACGTTGCAAGTTGGAAGAAGCAGGGAGAGATAGAAGGTAAAATAAACAAAATCCAGCATGTGCCCGGTGCACTGATAGGGTAAATTTGGTAGATGCTCTCAACTTGCTAGGAGCCATGACAGTCACAAGTAAGCGTGGGAATAGATACTGTAATCACTAATCTTAGATCATATAATGTGAAAAGGAAGCAACTATGCACAGGCAAGTACGACTGTCTCGATTAAAACCCAGAAAATATTTGGCTGTGCTAATGTGGAAACGAAATTTTAGGAGTGCGCGGAATGGATGCTTCGACCAGAATTGTCTGAATGTCCCATTTTAGTTTGAAGATCAATTTTTAATGAATGAAGCCGGAGTCTAGCTTTAGAGTATGATGCCGAAATCTTTCTTCCTAACTATAATCTTTCACATCGCTCATACTTTCCGCGTCCCCACGTGCAATACTCTCACAATACCTAAGCCCTTGGACGACTCCCATCTCCGATTTGATAGCTCACTGGCTTGCGCTGTTTTTCAAGTCCCCGAGGGCGACGTCTGTTTCCATCTCTCCTCTTGTGGATACAACATCCATCCCCCATGTGAAGCTTATCATGAGTGCGAGAATCTGAACGTACCCTCGTCAGAAGTTGTGACATGGTGTGACCTCACATCTGCTTTCAGATTTTTGTTCCCTTTTTAGTCCGTGGGCGCACTTTGAAGAAACGGGACCGCCCGATCGAGCCCGAAACGGATAA